CAAGTAGTTATTCTTTAGCTTTTTCAAAGTACCTACAGCAGTTTAATGTGTTTTTGAATTGAAATTGCTACTTGCAACTTATTTTCCCATTCTACTAGCAAGAATCCCTCTTTTTCCCAGCACATTTAATTATATCAGATAAATTTAGAAAATTGAGTAGGTTTTCAGAGTCAGTGACAATGAACTAACTGCACCATCTGCATTAGAGGTAGAGTTGAACATCCGTGTGTTTGTATCACATTCTTTACTAAATTATTGTTCAAGTTTTATATTATTCAGACTTAACTAAGCAACTTTAGTGATTTTGTATGTTTTTTCATTCTGACATTAATAATGTCTTAAAAATATCCAGTATCTTTAGCACTAAATATGATGCCTACCACTCTAACAACTTAGCAATTCATCCACTTTTATTTTTCCTGCAAGTTTCTTTTCAAAGTGTAGTTCATTACATTGTTGTTGATGTATATATAACAAATATTGGGGAAATCATTTATTTTTTAAAAACCATCCTAGTTTAAATTTTGTCTAGAAAACTTCATTGTGCCATGTTTTCTTTAAGTTGATGGTCATTTCCAGATTCAGTAGATATATTTTAAAATCCTTAAACTCTTACAGAAAATTTTAGCCTTGCAGTTTTAGCAGGCAGTTCAGCAAAATGGTTTTATTCAATCTCCAGATGCCATGTGTGCCATTAGAACTTATTACCAAAAGTTTAAGACAAAAGTTCTGTTTGCCACCTTTTGATTTTGTTGTTCCTCGTCATCCTTTTTCTTTTCTTCCCAATTTGCCTTCATTTTCAATATTTTCTTTTTTAAAAAAAAAACCTCAGGTGATTTCTCTGTATCTCCCACTCTTGCTGCTTAAGTTGAATTTGGACATGGAAATGGAAGGGTTTCATTTTGTGTCCATAATTCCACTCTCTCTTTAGTTTGCTAAAGGCAAGAACTAAAACAAATCTTACCATTTTGGGTATTTTGTTCACTGCCATGATTCTCTTCATCCCCAAATTCACACAGAGGCTCTGGTTTTGCCAGTCTCAGCATATATTTCAAATTGGTGTTTGAGTAGGTTGTCACTATTCTGAACTGCTTGAGCATACTTCATCATTCTAGTATGTGTAGTTTTGGGTATTAATAGTTAGAATATTCTTTTCTTTTTACAATAATTACAGAATGCTTTCCCATTCCCTAAAAATCCATTGAATTATTTTTCTAGTTTGATATTGAAGAATAAGAATTACTGACTCCTTTTCACCTTATTGGGATATGTAGCATTCAGAGTGGAGTTCCTTCAGTTTGAATATTTTAAGCCATTGTTGCTGTCCAGTATTTTTCTGAAAATTGAAAAATCATTAAAGGACAGGAATGAAATAAAATGCATTAAATGACTTTTGTAAAAACAAGATTTTCATTTTTCTTTTGCTTATATAGCTTGTGTTGGTTTTTGTGTTTTCCACTACTACTTTGAATAGCCTTTAAGAACTTCCTGATATGCTGTGCTTTGCATTAAGGTTGTGTAAGTTTTCATAAACAAAAGCTTTTGAATCTGCATTCCTGCCATTTAATGACTGGCATTACATGCTGTGCTTTGCTGTAATTGTGTTGATTCAGCACTGTGGGAGCTTTCTGTTTTCCTTTGAAAACAATTTTATTATGAGGAAAAGCCTCAGAAATAAGGACTAGGACGCTAGGCACCTTTTGAATTTAATGTCCTTAGAATTGCTTCTTTTTTTAATGCTTTATATAGGTGAAAGATATGATCCTGAGCCCAGATCAAAATGGGATGAGGAGTGGGATAAAAACAAGAGTGCTTTTCCATTCAGTGATAAATTAGGTGAACTGAGTGATAAAATTGGAAGCACAATTGATGACACCATCAGCAAGTTCCGGAGGAAAGATAGAGAAGACTCTCCAGAAAGATGCAGGTATTAACACTTTGCCTCCTGGGTCTCTTAGAAAGGGTGCTAAATTTAGGCAGCTGGGTTTAGAGGGTTTTGTTGTTTTTATTTGGGGTATTAACATTACCTGAAGTTTGGCTTCTTTTTTTTTTTTTTTAAATAGACTTTTTTTTTTTTAAAGAACAATTTTAGGTTCACAGAAAAATTATGGATAAAATACAAAGAGTTGCCACGTACCCATCTCCCCTTCTTCACAGTTTCTCTTGTTATTAATATCTTACATCACTATGGTGTATTTGTTAACAGTTGAAAAACCAATATTGTTATATGATAATTAACTAAAGTCATAGTTTACATTGGGCCTCACTGAGTCGTACAGTTCTATGGGTTGTGACAAATGCGTAGTATCCACCATTACAATATCATATAGAATAGTTTCACTGCCATAAAAATGCCCTATGCTAAAGTATGGAATGGTTCACGAATTTGCAAATCATTCTTGCACAGAGGCCAGGCTCATCTTTTCTGTATCACTCCAGTTTTAGTACATGTGCTACGGAAGCAAGCAGTGTGCAGCTGTTTTTAAGATGCCAGGTCAAACATTATTTTCAATTAGTATTGACATACCTTCCATGTTGCCTGTGTCCACTTATTTCTAAAGTTGATCATGTGTCCTGTATATTTTTATTCAAGCTGTGTAGTCTTTCCTTGGAATATTTTTCCGCAGTAAAAACTTCAGATTATTTTGCATTTGGATATTAGATGATCCAGGGATCTAAGATACTATTGAGGAATAATGAAGTTTATGTATTAAATTTAAACAAAAGTTAAAAGATTTGAAATTTAACTCTTCCCATGATATTTCATTATGATTCTGTGCCGGTGTGTACCAGAAAAACAATCCAAGTGGCATTTGAACCACAAGTTTTTGAGTGTAGACTGTATTTTTATTAACTATATTTTCTGATGGCAGGGCATTTGTATTTAGTTTTACATAAAACAGTACTTGGAACTTTGCAGCATTAACCTTTTGTTCTTACCTACCAATATAGCTATTAATATTAACTGATTTTTCTGGCAATTTAAAGGGCAGTGTGTATAATGTTTAATTTGCAAAGCAAATTTTACAGGGCCTTTATCGTTTGTGCCTCCCAATATCTCTATTAAATAGGGTAGAGCCAGAATTTTACCTGTATGTTTTAGAAGTAAAACCTGAGACTCAGTCAGACCGTGTGGACTTGCCCTAAAATAAAGCAGTTAGTGATGGAACCAAGCCTTCAAATGAATTCTTACAACTAAATACCATCTGTTTTTTACCACCCCCCACCTCAAAATATCTTAATAGTTAAGATTTAGGGATCACTAAAAAAAACTCCAAAGATATAATTTAAATTTTTTGTGTTTTCAATATGTTTTCATATTAAATCCCCAGAATACCTCTTTTTCAAGACTATTTCTGGAATGTGATCTTTGAAGAGCCAGAACTTATTTCTAGCACTTTGAATGTATCTGTTTTAGAACTACATTTGTAGCTTTCTCATACTGAAAGAGTATGAATATAATAATTATAAATACTAAACGTTGGCGAAAATGGTGCCTACTTCAAATATTCTGTGCTATTTTTCCCTCATTAATGTTTTTGTGGCCTGTATGTATAAATTTTTGGCTTGGTTTATAAAACATAGTGGCCATGTATTCTGACCACTCTACATTTCCTGCAGAAGTGTGGGAATCAGGTAGGGTAGACTGGTTAGAGATCACTGTGTGTATTCTTGTATTGTTACTTCTCTCCTTTGTCCTTCGATCCTCAGTTTTGCTTTTCTGGCTTTGCTTCTCTATTCTCTTTTTTTATTGTTTTGTTTCTCCCTTAATTACTTTTTCTATGTTGCCTCTAAGACAGGATCTCCTAGAGTTTCCAAATCTCTTACATAGAGTATTTAGGTTTAAAAAAAAAAGTGAAGATATGGTGAATATGATTTATCATAGCAACAATAGGACATGTCAGGGATTTTTCATCTTGGAGTATTCGTGATAGAAGAGTAAATTTTTAGACAAAGTTGCATGTGACCTCTCTGCATATTACCAGAATTTCTGACTTTTTAGTTCATTGTTAGATTCAGAAATTCTTGAACATTGACCAGATATGAAGCTTCCATTTCATTGTGTACTAGTCAGATTTATATTTTCAACTTATAAATAAATTATGTTGTACTGAAATAAAATTGGATATCAAAAAGGTAAGAAATTTCGGTTTACTTATAGGACTGATAGTGGGAATCTGTAAGTCATTTGTTGTTGAGAAATTAGGGCTTTTGAACACTTACCACAACTTGTAGGTTCCTTAAAAATGTATTTAACCCCTTTGCTTTTGTATGGAAAGTTGTTATTTTTGATCCTTGATTTATACAAGTTCCAAATTGGTTTATATTTAAGTAAAAATTGCTTTAGATTAGTCTAAGTTAAATTGCATCAGTAATAGTCATACTTTAAAGGAGAATTTTAAGCATTTTATTCCAAGATATTTATAAATTAAACCACCTACTCTAAAATTAAGTAACGTAGGTAATGAATCATACTTCAAGTAATTTCTCTCTCTCTGTCCTACTTGCACCAGAAAAAAAAAAAAAAACCCAATAGCTTATTACTGGTGAACAGACTAGTACTGATATTTTCATTCCTACCATATGAAAAACCCAGTTTTTTACTCTTCAGTTTCTTTTTTGTTTTATACTATTAAAAAAAGAAAAAGAAAAAAAATTTTTGAATGTGACTGAAAGGGAATTACTTTAAAAACATTTTAAATATAGTTAAGTTTTTTATAAAGTGATTTCCATAGTTGTGTGAAAGTTTGATCTCCTGATACTATAGTAAAATAGAGCTCAGTTGTAAAGTGCATTACCTCACATTTTTCTGTACTTACAGACGAAAGTTTAATCATTTGAATTCAGACAGGATAATATTTTTTAAAGTACCCATTGAAATTGTAGTATTATATATGTGCATTCGTAAATGAAAGTTAATGACAGAATTGTGTTATTAAAACAGAAATGTAGCCATTTGCACACAATCCATTTCAAGAAAATGGTCATCAAATGCATATGTTTGAACTACAGGGTCTTATCAGTTGATTCTGATGTAATAATCCTGCTATTTTATTTTTAATTAGGCTTTAAATCTGCAATAAACCAAAACTTGAGTTATTTCAGACATTTTTTATTTGTACACATTTATGTAAATACTTTTTGTAGCACTTTTTTTAGACTTACCTAAAGGAGAATTCTGTTCCCACTTCCCCTCCCCAACACACACGTATCATTATTCAGACAGCTTAGTACATTCTGTTGATCCCTGTCAATAGTCAAAAGTACAGAATTTTGGAGTTACTGCATTTGAAATTCTTTGAAATCACTGAGGACTCCATTTTAAAATAATCCCAAGTCTTATTATTTTGCTTCATTTTTAATATCTTTTAGCGACAGCGATGAGGAAAAGAAAGCAAGAAGAGGCAGATCTCCCAAAGGTGAATTCAAAGATGAAGAGGAGACTGTGACGACAAAGCATATTCATATCACACAGGCCACAGAGACCACCACAACCAGACACAAGCGTACAGCAAATCCTTCCAAAACCATTGATCTTGGAGCAGCAGCACATTACACAGGGGACAAAGCAAGTCCAGATCAGAATCCTTCAACCCATACACCTCAGTCTTCAGTTAAGGTGGGAAGTGACAGGAGTTTACACATTATACGTGGTTTTATTTTTATAAACTACTTTTAGAATTCCTGCAGTTAGCAGGCTTGGGCATTTCTAGGCAATCATGTTAATTATAGATCATCTGACATGTATTACTCAGAGTCATTAATAATAAGAAATCTCTTTGGGGGAAGCAACATGTCCAATTGCTGAATGGTTGTCTATGCACTTTCTGTGAAAGTGGAAGTGACACTCTTAGTTCATTCAGGGAAGGTTGTGAATCAGAATGTAGTGCATCTGTTTCCTTCTAGAGACCACCACCGGTTACCAAGCACAAGTAGATTCACTAAGAAAAACATCGGAAGTATTTGCAAGTTTTAAGAAATGACAAAAGAAGGGACTGGAGATACAGAAAGGGAATGATCTCATTTAACATAGAGATGACGCCTCTAAAGGGAGGCGTATTTGCTTTGCAGTCATTGCTCATCAGTATCAGGAGCACTGCCTCTTACACATCTTTGTTTTTATTCACCACAGGAATGAAATCAGCCTTCTAGCTAGCCAGCCCAATGCTGGTCTTTTAGACTGAAATCTGCCGGAGAGGGAGATTTGCCCCAGAAGACTAAATTGTTATTTTTGTCACTTTTCCCCCACTACTGTTTACCTAATTGATGTCTTTGCAACAAATGTAGCTGAAAGCTGGGAAAAAGTTTTCGAATATACCCAGCAAATTGTAGGTGACTCTAAGAATAAAGCTAGGCTCGCTTAGTGGCGATAAGTACTGTGTCACCTTTTGCCAAATATTAATACCTTCTGGACCGGTGTATAATTTCACCCATGTTGTGATTTTTTTTTTTTTAAAGAGACAGGATCTCGCTCTGTTGCCCAGGCTGGAGTGCAGTGGCATGATCATAGCACTATATTCTCGAACTGCTATGCTCAGGCGATCCTACCACCTCAGCCTCCCTGGTAGCTAGTACTACAGGCGTGTACTACCACACCCAGCTAATTTTAAAAATTTTTGTAGAGGTGGGGTCTCACTGTTTTGCCCAAGCTGATCTCGAACTCCTGGGCTCAAGTGATCCTCCCACCTTGGCCTCTAGAGCACTGGGGTTACAGGCATGAGCTGCCACACTTGGTCATGATGTGAACTTTTTAGTTTTAATGAAAATCTCAAAATTGTAACTCAACTTTAGCTGTAGTTAAAGAGGAAAAATGGCTTTGTTATTTCTTTGTGGTCTTACGAATTTCCTCTCCTATAGATACAGTTAGCTTACTGGTGGCTGTATAGGGTCTGGTAGATAGTCATAGTAATTAAAACCCAAATACATGATGACTGTCATAGAGAACTCATTTAAGGTTGCATAAGGAAAATTATCCAAACTGTGTAATTTTTTTAAAAATAAGACTTCTATCTCATACCTTAAAGTATTTAAAATATCAATTTGTAGTATAGTTTGAATATATTAAAGATTTTATATTTGTAGTATAAACTTTTTATTTTTTATTATAAAAGAAGTATCTAGAAGGCTGACATTCTTGAAAAGATACCCAACTACTTTCGATCTCTTCCAGTTTAAAGGTTTTTTTGGACCACAGTGTAATATTTTAATCAAAGCTTAAGTTAACATGCCTAGGAACTTACAGCGTTTCCCTCTTGCCTAACAATTGAGTTCTAATTTAACATGTTTATGTATTGAACATATAGGACATAGGTGTCCAGGGGGCTTAGTACTATGGAGAAGACAAAAATAGTATTACAGGTACAGGCCCCACAGTTTAGTTTGGAAACTAAATATGAAATAATTAGATGTCAAAGTATATCAGACAACATAGAATTACACTAACTTGTAGTATACAAACAATAAGTATTCTAAAGTTCATGGAATTTTAGAGCTGGATAGGATCTTGGCCTCTAATCCAGTGGATCTCAATCCTTGAACTGACCTGGGAAGCTCTGTAAGATTTTAACAGGCCGAGGTCTCATCGTGGGCAATTATGACTCAATATATTATATGGGGCTGAGGCTTTTTTTTTTTTTTTAACTGCTAGGGCATTTTTTTCTTAAATAATTCTGATATATAGCATAAAGATTTGAGTGGGATCTGAGAGGTATGTTTTTAGAGTGGAATGCAGTACGAAAAGAAATGAGTTAGGAAAAAAGTGTGAATGTTAGGGATTTTTACACTGCAGGGAATACAATGACTTAAAAATGCTTACTGTCTCTCCATTCAAGGTCAGTACTCTTTTTTTCTTTTTCCCCAGAAAACTACATCTATCCTTATTAAGGTAATTATAGGTATTTGTGTCTAAATTAGGAATTAGAGATGGGTAGAGCTGATTTTAGAAAAAATGGTAGGAATGTTTCTAAGCTTATTGGTTACATGTTTGTTTTCAGACTTCAGTGCCTAGCAGCAAGTCATCTGGTGACCTTGTTGATCTGTTTGATGGCACCAGCCAATCAACAGGTAGGCTTCCACATTGTTTTTTTCTTTTTAGTAACATGGTTTCATAGTCATTTTTAAAAATGCCAAATAAAAGATAAAATGAAAAATAAAACTATTTATTTATACTAGATTTATTTTTTATGTGAATTTAGTGAACCTTGCTTGAGCTTTAATTTGGGGAGAATTGTTTAATTGCCTAAAATTAGGGAGAAGAGTGCTTGATAATTTGATATTTGGTAATCTCTCTCTCTTCTTAATTTCTCTAGTACCTATGGCCTTTGCCACTCTTTGGGACTACTGTGTTGTTATTTTTGTTTATCTTTTTATATATGTAAGTTATCCCTTAAAAGGAATACACTGTTTTATACCTTTTTCTGAACCTCAGACTTGGGAAACCTTATGGTAGGCACTCAGTAAATATTGGGGAGGCCGGGCGTGGTGGCTCACGCCTGTAATCCTAGCTCTCTGGGAGGCTGAGGC